GGGCCTAGGGTTACGGGGATAAGGTAATTTGACAGAAATACTTCTTTTTTCCGTACAAATAAATCTCGACAGTTTCTTCTGATACCTTTGTTTTAAAAAATGAAATTGTGCAATTTAAATGTATTTAGAAAGATATACGGAGTAATCATTATGAAACTTTTTGAAGTCTGGTACAATATTAATATGGGGAATGAGAAATTTCTCTTGAACACCGGGATTTGAAATGAACAAAAAATGGAAACATTCAAATGTATGGAAAAAGAATTGAAATATATTTGAATTTATACGTGAAAACATGGAATCATCTGAATTTGAATCAATGGAATTGGAAACGTAATGAACTATAAAAAATAGGGAAACATTCAAATATATTTCTGACTATTCTTTCCAAAAAAACATATTAAATGTAGTTTTTTTAAAAATAATTTTATACTGATAAAGAAATATCAATACATTTTTGTAAGTTCAAATTACCGATATATATATATCCTTGGTTTTAACTATAAATAAACATCAAAACATTTTTTTTAAATAGTAATGTGGTCTATGGGATTCCTATTCATACGGTCATACTAATGAAATGAGGAATAACCAAGGATCAGAACTTACAACGACCGTGTGAAGTTTACAATTAACTCTTAGATAGTATGTGTTGGGCTATTCTCTGGGCGACACAAGCATACAATCTATAACCGTTGGTTTAGGTGAGTCATCGATTGACAACTTTCATCTCTATCCTGTCCGGGGCTTAGGGGGGCCATTGTGGATTCAACCTTTTTTTGAGGAATAGTGGAATACTAATGAAAGGAGTGCTTGTGCTTTTAAGATCTAATTTATTTTAGAGATTATTTCAAACACGTTTAATACCGGATTGAGTTTAGCTAGATCTAGTGAATGTGATATCATAATGGTGAGTAATTATGGTATGGCCTTTTTGTTACATTAGCCATACACTGTAACGCAACCAAGCATTGAAAATGTAATACCGAGTTAAAAGATACCAAGCATGAGTAATTATAAAATCAAGCAATCTTTTATTATTTCCTTTGTTTTTTCAGAGAAGTAATTAAACTAGTTTCATGATCGTTAGTTTGGTTGAAAGAATTGAAAATAAAATTATCTTTTGTTTCATAAAAATGTATGTTTGGATTATTGTTACAGATTAGCTCCAAAAGTGGTGACAGTAGTAGAGCAAGACCTGAGCCATGCAGGTTCATTTCTGGGCAGATTTGTGGAGGCAATCCACTACTACTCGGCGTTGTTTGACTCCCTGGGAGCGTGCTACGGTGAGGAGAGCGAGGAGCGGCACGTGGTGGAGCAGCAGCTTCTCTCCAAGGAGATCCGCAACGTGCTTGCAGTTGCGGGTCCGTCCCGGAGTGGTGAGGTCAAGTTCAACAACTGGAGAGAGAAACTTCAGCAGTCTGGCTTCCGGGGAGTGTCATTGGCCGGAAATGCTGCCGCTCAGGCCACGCTACTGCTCGGCATGTTCCACTCGGATGGATACACGCTGGCCGAGGACAACGGAGCCCTCAAGCTTGGTTGGAAGGATCTCTGCTTGCTGACAGCTTCTGCATGGAGGCCTCCTCCACTCCAACCTCAATAATTAAAGAGCAAGGCTAGTTACACATTTTTTGGTACATGATTTCCATACATTCTTATATGGCATGAATGTGTTGAGTGATGAAAAATAAAGAAATTTTCATTATCTAATAGATGCATGCCACATAATAATTTATCAAAAGAATGTACCACAAAAATGTATACCACTATTTATGGATAATTAAACACTACAAAAACAAAAAAAATCCATTTCCACGCAAGTGTGGTTTGCTTTCTCAATGATAGATACTCCATATATGATTTTGTGTTTTGTTTTTCTTTATTTGTTATATTTTTCCAGCTTAGTACTTTTGCTTAAACAAAATAAAGATAAAAAGGAATTTCCTTATGTTAACGCTTACAATTTTACGCAAACCTATATAACTATATTCGTATATTGCATGGACACTAATCAAGTACATTTAGCGATTATGGGAGATTTGATATGTATGAAAATTTGCTCAAAAAATCACCAACAGGAAGAACATAAGAACCTATATTGTGTACATAATGGGATTCAAGTACGAACAAGAAACACTTTTCGCATAAAGGTTTCCAAATTCTATATGTTAACAAAAATTATTATAGGGAGGAAAAGTTTAAAGTGAAAAGGAAAGGAAAAGGCAATGGCAGAGGGAAAGTGAAAGCACTTGGCTCGTGAACCGGGACTTTTTTAGCTAGGTTGCTTGTGTTCAGTCAGTTGTTTTTGCTTGAATATTCACAAAACCAGACCAGTATAGTGGGTGGATCAACCCGGTCACCTAACCAGCCTCGTTTCCGTGTAACTTGGGAAAAGGCAAATCATTAGGAGAACCAGTAGAGGCACTTTATTCAGTTTATTGTATGGTAACACTGTTCTGTTGACTATTGTAGTCCAACATTGACTTCAACATTTGCGGTTAATGGTCATACCGAGTACTCTATCATTTAGAGCCCGTTTGGTAGCACCAAAATCGGCTGTTTTGGCTGATTCTGCTGAAATTTATGATATTCTGGCTGAAGTGGCTGTTTTGGCTGATTCTGCTGATTTAAGAAAAAAATATTTAAAAATATATTTTATTAATAAATTAAAGAAAAAATTATATGTAAAAATAGCTAAAATGGTCCTCTACAGTAACTTCAGCCAATACAGCCAGAAAAGTAACTTCAACCTTACTTTTTCGGCTTATTACACAATTAAGCGCGCGAAAGTAAAAGTTACGTGTTTGGTGAAAAAGCTGGCTGATAAGCCTGATAAGCCGAAAATAGAGTTCTCCAAACGGGCTCTTAGTGCCACTCTATAATGCTATATTGCATGAATACCGATAATCGGATTCGTGAACAAACATACGAGAATACTGAATACGTACGGCAATTTTGAAAATCATACAATATATTTACGGGGTATATTTATAGATAATATATGTATAGAGTATAATTTGCTAATATTTATAATCCAGAGGTTCATAATAAAATAATAATAACAAATATTAACAATCATTATAGCATTTCAAAGATTAGATTAAAAAATAAAACTAAAGTATTGATATAGTGATACTTCAATTTAAATTCAAATAACATCTAATTCGCTATTAACATTTACATCTAAGTCTTTTAACACGACTGACTCCATTTAGGCTCATCAAGTGTGAGACTGACAAATTCAAGTATTCCAATACCTTTCAAATTTTTGAAATCGTCTCCATCAATGTATCACATTCACATTTTATGTTTCTCACTTACGTATTAAACACAATTGATTTAGAAGTGAAGTAAATTGAAACTTATTAAGTGTACGAGAGAAGAAAAAGACATGTTATGACCTTACTCGATAAGAGATGAAGTTTAGTAATGAGGATTGATGAATCAGAAGTGATGAGTTGCGGTCGCCTGGGCGGCTACTCTATTCACATCAGGCCGTGTATGAATTCAGTGTTATAGAGTAGATACACATATCCGTCCAGAATACGTGTATTGGAAGTGTTTATAATTTTAAAAATAAGTCCAATACTTTTACTAAATTACGTGTACATACCCAATATATACATGACGTGTATCATCAAGTTTCGGTCAGGTACGTATCGAATATGCGGATAGGTATCGAATGTGGCGACAGTCACTAGATTCCGCTTAATTATGATGTCCTTTGTATTATTTGTAAAATAACATTAATTCTTTACTTATGTATGTGTAGATAGTAAATTATATACCCACCACCCCCAATCCCTCATTCAGGTTTATATATTGTAAAAGACTCATTTTTGATAATATATTCTCTCACATTAATCTTTTTTCTTCTTAAAATCTGGTTAAGCCTCTTTAACAAGTCATTACATACTATTCTCGATTCACAATGGACTATGATGGTATGAGATAAAGATAAAATTATAATGGTGAGTAAACGGACTACTTTTTTTGGCCTTACACCTAAATTGTTTCTCAAGAAAACTGAGCCTCTATAAAAACTGAGTTTTAGAAAGCAGGCTACATGATAAAATTGAGCCTCTATAAAAATTGATAAAATATTAATCTAATGAATGTGGCCGGCCAACACATTCCTATAACCATCACTAGTTTCCGGCCACCCTCAATAGATTTTGGCCATCTTCACTTTTTCAAATCCGCTGACCATGATTTTGCAATGTCACCCTCATATATTCATGTTGATGTTGTTAAGTGTAATCTATGCCGAAATAGATGGAACTGTTTTGAAGATAGATGGGTACAAAAAGGTGCTCCCATAGACAGCCTTATTCCTTGTTAATGAAGGTAGTGTTCTGTATGAAGTAGAAAGAGTAAGGCTGTGTATGGACTTTGGACTTTGCGTCTGATGTCGATATTGCAACTTTGCAAGGTTTGAGTGTGGGTATGTATGTCAGTACTTTAAAGTAAATAATACAAAGAATGATATAGGTGCTAATTCGAACTTTGACCACTACAGAGCTAGCATAAATTTACTGATTTTTTCACAAGTACAACTTGCTTAAAGTCATTATTACGCTCTCGATCTCCTTGCAACCAATTTTTTCAAAAGGCCGTTTAGTGTACAATGATAGTGTGTATTAAGAGTTTGAGAAGTGCTTTATGAACTAAGGTAAATGAGTGAATCTCAACACTTTATTTTATATGATCTTTGTTGCACTTACTTTTCTTGCTCTTAACTCATTCTATCCATTCTCTACTCCTATATGTATTGGCTGATTGTGGGTCATCCCGGATGTGCAATGATATTTTGACTTCCTATCTTATAACCCTGGTTAAAGAGGAGGGAGTGTAGGGGTATAATGAGGACTCTAGGGGTATAATCAATAGAGAAACAATTTAATCTACACTTACTATAACTGCTTCTTTATGTTTTTTTTTTAATCTCGAGTGAGTTAGCATTAGGACCAAGGGTACTTACAATAAGTATAAAATTGTAGCGTTTCGTCAAAACATGCGATTTTTTCTTTAGCCGGAGTATATGTAAGCTTTATATGTATATCATCTTGGAGACTACTTCCAAGTGGAATAAGTTAGGCATCTTTGGTTTGGTGTAATTTGGACTAAAGGAGCTAAATTATGCGCCATTGTTACTAGTCCACGGCTTGAGTACACCAATTAGGATGATTGCAACAATTACAAGGAAGATAATTATTGCTAAGCACATCCATTTCCTGGAATTTCTTTGTAACTTCTTTGCCTTTTGAAGTGCAGTAGTGCCTGATTGTACATGATCAACTGCCGCATGTACCTATAATAAATTACAGGTGATAATAATTGGGAAGGCTTTTCTTTTATGGAGAACATGTGAACATAGTTGCCATTACCTGGGATTCTATGTTGTTAAGCATGTCCCCTTGAGCGTCCACCAACACTGCCATGTCTAAGAATATCTGCATTGTTTAATCTCTTCAATTATATAGTTTAAATCATAATTTAATATGTGTTGCCATGATTATTGGTTGAAGAAAAGTTTTTAACTTCTTCCACCATTTTTCTTAATCAGAATGGCAAATTCTCAGAATGGCAGAAGAACGTTTCTTATTCGAATGTAGACCCATTCCAGACATGATAATAATACCTGTTGCAACTCGAGAAGCTTCCGTTCTAATTCTATCACCGCGTCATGGCGTTCTTGAATTTCTGCAAGGGTGTCCATAATCTGCAAACAAAATAATGTGAAGAACTCAGAGGGGAAATATTAATGGATAGAAGAGATAAAGATAATGATGACAAATATTGCATGCCTGTCCTCGCCCTTGTTCCCTAATAGCTTTTTGGAATATTTGCTCACCGTCCCCAGTCTCTATCAACCTGTCAATTGTCTGAATACAAGGAGCATACAAGTGCAATTAGATGATATGGCACACATACTTCTCTGGAGAATGAGTACATTAAAAATTTACAGGAAAAACTAGCTCACCTCTTCATCAGCTTGATTTCCAGTAACTATCAAGAGGCAAAAAGTTAGAGATATATAGAAAAGGCAGCCTTTTGTAATGGTGCAATCCTTAAATAAAATACACAGCAGGCAATTACAGATAAGAAACGTTTAAAACCTGTGAATACGCGTCTCTCAACAACCTCACGATATTCTTGATGGATGCTTTCCCTTAAAGTCTGAAAATGTCAATGAACAAGAAAAACTATAAGAGAAAACAAAATAAGCATTTTTTTTTCAATTCATCATCCAAGTTTAAGTACCTGAAATTCCATCATCTTGTCTTTGAACTTTTTTTTCACCGCACTACAATAAAAAGAAAATAGGACTGGTAATATTTATTGAAAATGAGAGAGTATAACTCAAAATCCTGCATCGATCTACAGACTACATGTATTAGAATTGTTTCCCAATACATCTACACTCCTCTTGGTTTGGTATGTTCTGACATTGAATTTAAATGTAGCACATAAATATAAAAACTTTTTAACCAAATATGAAAAACATTTTAAATACACTGTAGTTGCAGAACGTGATCTGTCAACAGCTGATCCTTTGCCACAACCAGGTTTGTTCCTGCTGGCTAAGTTCTGGAAAATTATAAAACCGCAACAAAGGATATCAGAAATGTTTAAAGGTAGTAAAATGTATTCTGTCAGTATTTTTTTAATCACCTCTTTGTCAATCTCCTCAATTTTTGATCTTATAAACCGAGCAATTTTTCCAACTTCATCGACATCTTTCTCCATTTGCTGCTTAATTGCTGTAAATTATGTCATGATTATGACACAGATTATAAAAAAAAAAATCAAAAGTTCATGAGCTATTACAAATAAGGATTTTCCCTTCCAAAGACTCTTTTAATCCACAGTCATGTTGCTTGTGTCTAGTTTTTTACAAACAATTTTAACTGGAGGACACCAAAAAGATAGTAGTTTAATTGAGTAAAAGTGGTACTGCAAATGAATGCTACTCATTTATAGAAATCATATGTTAGTAAATTGTTCCAAACCAAAACCAAAACAAGGAATACCCTTACTTGGTTTTCTAAACAATTATAGGTTTATCTCCTGGAATAATCCATGATCAATGAGCTTTCCGTTTAATTCAGTTTATATGCTGAGAGAACGATGTTGAAAAATGGCATGGCCAAATCGGTGGCTACAGAATCTAAGATCATAAAGAACGCACATAGTACTCCGTAATATTTATAGTACTAAAAGTTTGAGTACCTTTCATTGCAGAAGCCTTTGTTATAGCCCTTGATTTCTCATGGGAATCCTGTAAGATCAATAGGATAATAATGTTAAAAATAGCTTTTTGGGTTTATGTGATTGATATTGAATTAATGAAGTAAGAATAAAGTAAGAATGGTTTAGAACCACACAAATTTTATCAAATTTGGGATGTGACAATCTTAGTTGGATGGACCGAAAAGGAAAGATGGGACAATCTTAGTGGGACGGAGGGAGTATAATGTACAGTTGTACACTGTATTCCAAGTAGTGTAGTAACTGACACATTCGTTTATAAATTCTCATTAGTCATCCATCTTGTATTCTTGTACATCAAACTGTTTCCACATGCAGAACTTAAAACTAAGGTGGAACACACTGTTTATTTTAGTTTTCATTACCTAATAGGTATATTAAAAAAAGACAATTTCTATCCTTCAAGGACATTATGAAATGATTGTTAATTACGGGAAAAAATGATACATAAACATCACAAACAAAACTTGTATAAGGAAAAAAACACCTGAAGTTTTCTGAGAAGCATGTCCACTTTACCATATTGTTTGTCAAGTTCTTCAACCTTTTCAGATAAGAAGGAAAGTGTGAAAAGTAAGAAGTTTGTGCATCTGCAATGCAGGAAAATAACAGGAAAATGTATAACCATAGGCAATACATTGACAACATCAAAAAGAAGAATTTGGAATACCCGATTAAAAAAATTATCCAGGCGAAGTTCTCCTGAGTTCATTGGTCTATGAATTGCAACTTCAATATCTCCATTTCCAGATGTTGGATCCCTTTGTATCTCAAAGGAACCCTGAAAAAGAAATTAAGAAGAGTTTAGGAGAAAAGGCAAGTTCTTCTGGAGGAATACGTTTAAGGCAATAGGTACAAAATAGATATAGCAGCACAATTTAGAGATCAAGGTGTTGTAGATGTATATTGCCACATGAATTGGTATGGTGCTACTGTGTTCTCTCTGTGACTCCTTGTTTTTGAGTACTTAGTTTAAGGCAAAGTGTTCTTTCATTTTCTATCGGTCGTACATTCTAGAGACCTCTTCCAATCTCGTATACAATTAGACTACAAAGTAGAGAGTACAGTTATCATGTATGACAGTATGACAATTAAACTAAATTTGGTAGAATTTGTGACAAAGAGTTGAATAAATTGAAGCATTCAAGCACATGCGAACCCATCCTTAAGAAGAAGATTTGCATTGAAAAAAATCACTGCCTTTTGAAGTGATTATAAGTTGGATTCTGAGCATGTAACTTCAAATAAAGATTTTAATTCAAAGATTCTTGAAGGTATCAATATAAAACATGTTTAGATGTCAAAACATAGAGTGAGCAGAACATACGAGGATGAGTAGCTTATAAAGGTAAAGAAGCATAGAGTATAACAAGCCTGAAGTGTATACCCAGGCCTCTAATACCTCACACTAGCAATTTCATAAGAAATGACTTCTTTTAAAACAAGCTCCTAAGAGCCTGTTTGGATGGTCCATATCTTGATATATACTACGTATTGCAGAGGGGAGTATTTGGAGGGCTTAGTTGATCACATTTTATTCATTCTTAGACACATTGTATATATCAAGACATAGAGAAAGCCCCCTCCACAGTCCAAAGTCATCCCCTCCAAAGAACATATCCATGCAGCCATGCAGGCAGGCCCTAAAGGGCTTAGAGGCCAGGGAAAACGACAAGTGAGACGCCTAGTAGATGCTATCAATCAGATGCTCTTCATCACTCATTGACGTCCCCTCTCTCAAGCTTTTTTCAATTGCTGAATATAAATATAATTGCGCGCGTAATGATGAGACATCCCCATTGCACTTATGTTTTCATTTTAAGGAGATACTAGTACAATATAGATTGTCTGCTTAAATCAAACAGAACTAGGATGATTGAACGAATTAACATGCTACATTATACTCCATGTTAAAAAACCACAGATAGGAGGTCAAGGATCAATATAATCACGTGAGCGTTCTCGCATTAAATCAAATCAAGCATAAGGACCCAGAATTTTACTAAAATTATGAAACGTTTACTATCACATTGCATATGAGATTAATTAAGAAACCACATAAAGTTTTTATTTTGCTTCCTCCCTGTTACACCCTTAATCAAAAGACACAAAGCTAATGTAACTGTTCACTTAATTTGCAGAAAAGTAAGAATTTCAGAAAGGCACCGATAAAAGATCGTTCATGATGGGATAGAACGATAAATGCGCTTCAGCTCGAGATTGCGGTATCCCCTGCCAGCCCTCTCCTTCCTTCTCCCTGGGCTCTGAACTTCCTGATGTAGGAGAAAGAGACAATGTGGTTTTCCTGTGTAAACAGGAGAGGAATAGAGAAAGGCATTCGGGGAGGGAGAGATCAGGGCGCCAAGGCACAGAGGTCCCCTTTTCGGCTCAATTCTGTTGTGCATCCACCCGTAACGAATGCTGTGTGATGTCTTTTAAGGAAATTGTGGATTAAATAACTTTTTTGAATTCCAAAATAGCATTAATATATTACTACTTACGTTTTTCTTTAAAATATAAATTATTATTGTCATGTTTAAAAAATATTTTCATAATTGAAAAATATTATCATTAGTTATAATAAACATTGTCATATCGAATACATAATATTGTAACTATTTAACTATCATGATTACAAGATGACAGTAAATAGTGTTATGTTACTCATATTTTGAAAAGAAAAATATATCAAATTTATTTTGGAATTCCAAACCCGATTTACTCTTATTTTGGAAAATGTCCCTTTTTTAAATTAATTTATTCATAGCTCTCACTCAACTTTACCATTCTATAAATTCTTTATTTAATATGTAGGGCGCGGTTCAAGTAAAAAGTGATGCTTTGGTGCAAAGTGTGAACGTACACATTTTGTCATGTACGGTGCTTTTTTAGCTTCAAATGTTTCACTCTTAGAAATGATTAAAGAATTTGACATAACTACTAATATGCTACCGCATATATATGATCATTTTTAACTCATTGTTGACATATTTAAGACCATTTGATCATGATATGAATGCATCAGATCTATTTTTTCTTTTTCATGGGAAGTGCATTTTTTGTTTGGACTCTCTCTCTGGGCAGTTCCAATAAAAAGAGTGTTCAACGTGAAGTGTGACATTTTCACTTTTACGTCGCTGCATTGCACTTTCAAACTCAAATGGAAAAACGTTCACCTATTTATGAAAATGACATCGCATTTTTATTCAATTTGTTGCAATATTGACACTTTGGGAGCCATGAAATCTCAAATCTGATGCACGAAAACCATTCTCATTTTTCATAATAAGATTTCTTTTTATTTGATCCAAAAAACACACACACACACTTCCTCCGTATTTTATTGTTTCTTATAATAGGGTTCAATAAAATATTTGATAGAAGAATAGTATGTGTAGTGAGTAATGTAGAAAAAATAGGAGACAAAATGAAGAACTATGCAAAAAACTATGAAACATTAAAAAAAGTCATTGTAGTTGAAGTTTTGAAACGAAAAACTTACAAAAAAGAAAATTCTTGCAATAATTGAAATACATAAAGGAAAATGTAGCAAATAAAAGAATACGGAGGGATACATATTGTGTCTCTCTAATCTATCTAAATTAAGGTTAAACGGTTTTATATATTTAAAGTAATGTTGTGGTGTTGATCTAACATTTCTACCAAGACAAAGATTGCTATGAATATTTTTAATTGAATTAGTTTAGTCTGATATCAGATCAAATTAGAACAAAACAAATTATACTATATCAAGTTTTAACATAATCAACTTATACAACAGTAAAGTACACATATACGGAGTAGTAGATACCTATCAGATCAGGTTAGTGGATTTCAAGCTAACTAAAGATCCTAATTCTCACACCTTGTTTGCACTCGACTTTCAACTTTTTCATTTTTAGTCTCTGGCTATAGTACGAAAGACACTTTTAGTCCTCAACTTCAAAGTTTGTTCACATATTGTCCTTGAGTATTATCAAATTAACATTTTTAGTTCTTTCACAATGATTTTGACTCGATAAGTGGATGATTAAAATGTAACAATTATAATAGTTGAAGGATAAAAAACGTCACTTATATGAAACTCGTAGGATTATATATGGATTTTTTCAAAGGCGGGTACCAAAAGTGTCTTTCACACAATAATCGATGGACTAAAAGTGGAAATATTGAGTTTTGACACTTTTCATCCTCCGACTATTATGTCACTAACACTTTTGGCACTCGACTTTGATTGTTTTCACTTTTAGTTCTTCGACTATTGTGCGAAAGATACTTTTGATACACGTCTTTGAAAATTTCCACAATTAGTCCTTTGACATTCATAAAAGTGACATTTTTGGTCCTTCAACTATTATAATAGTGACATTTTTAGTCCTCCACTTATTGTGTCAAAATCATAGTGGAGGGACTAAAAGTGTCAATTTGATAATAATCGGGGACTAAATGTAATAAAGTTTGAAGTTGAGGGCTAAAAGTGTCTCCCACACAATATCGATGACTAAAAATAGAAAAATTAAAGTCAGATACCAAAAGTGTCAGTCAGTGAGCGTCACAGACACAATAGTTGGGTGAGCGGAAGTGGCAAAAACTTAGGAAATATTCAAAGGCAAGTACCATACATAATAGTCGGAGGAATGAAAGTGACAAAAACTCTTCTTCAAGACAAGGGCTTAGAATTGAATTGAGGGTACAATAATATATTTCCCTCATTGTTTGGTAGTTTGACTGTTTAAGCTTAGCAATTTAGATTAGCCTTTAAGGTGAGTTGTTAGAGCAGAATTATTGGGCTGAATTATTCCATTGAAATTAACTTAAATAGTAGCAAAAGTTAATTGAACGAAAGGAGCAAGGGGTAAAGCAAGGCTATGATGCAGATTGCCTGGAAAGGCCAACTCCAAATAATATGATCTGTATCTTCCTTCCTTCACTTCAATGTTTCGTTTGGGGAGATGTAACCTAATTGTGTTTAAGTACATAATTTAATTCACTTAGTTCGTCACATTATTTGAATTATTAATCTAATTAAATTAGGTTAAGTGCATGCGTATCCGTGTGGTTTTCATGTTTTCAAAATATGGATAGTCTAAATGATTGGTTTTTTTAGATTGTTTGTAACATAACTCAAATAAGACTTGAGTAAAATTGTCTTAGAGCTAATATTACATACATATTTCACCTGGTGATTCTGTTTTTTCTTGTGGTGTTATCTTATATTTTCCGTAACTATGTGAACCTTATTACCTTGATGAAACACAACATAAATAAAGTCTTGGTAAAGAGGTAAACCGTGGGATTAGGTGACCATAATAAAGCTGTCAAGGTATTCAGTAATCAACTTTTAGGTTGATGCGTGTACTTTTAGTGAAATGGAAGTTTAATTAACTCATGCATTTAGTTTCAAAGGAATAGTTTTTGTTTTTTTGAAAGGACACCAATTAAAGAGGGCGTGAAACCCATAGGTAACGATCACACATAGAAACAACGCTCTAACTTCACCTATCATTAACACGATTCCCAGACCGCTTGACATAACTAAATGAGATACTTCGTAGTTGGTACAAGTCTACAAGATCTATCATATTTCTTATGATCTGTACTAAGACTCCATCACCCTTCAAAGCGTTAACTTTTAAAATTAGAAACGGACACATCAATTTAATGCCAAAGTCATATTTTGACTGTTTGTTCATTTTTCATTAGCATTGAACTTCCATTTTAAATTATGTATTTACAAATGACGGTTTTTTGGTATGAATTGGCGATGAATACGACCGTGGTGATAAAGATCTAAACCATAATGCTCATGTATCATTTTTAAGGCTCTATAATAATGTGCAAACTCTCCATCCTTCCAAATTTCTTATATTCTAATGAGCTTAGAAATTTTCATCAATGTTATATCAAATTTTATAAGCCGCAACTAATTATATGATGGTAACCAAGTATCCTACTATTCTGCTACGATAATCATCAAAGTTGCCTCAAAGTGATAACATTTTAATGACATTAATCATGGCTATGTTGAAATGAAACTCCAACCAAACTCAAGCAGAAGGGTCAAGAGGAGTAGAGTCTAAGTCATAATAGCAAAAGTACAAGGGAGAGTGAGAGCTAGAGCATTCGATCCGCTAGCGAAGGCAATCTACGGAAGAAATTCAAAGCCGGCGAAGGCTTTCGGTCCCTGAATAAAGGATGCCTCAGATAATAGAATCCAAACGCCAAAGCTATCATCTTTGACGGCACCAAGTAAAGCACAAGCGCCGCCACCAGGCATAGAACAATGAATATCCCTGTCGCACGTGGATCTCGCCATGCCACCAATGCTTGCACGCGCTCCCCTTGTGTGGCTACATCGCCCAACATAGTTTGCACACGCGCACCTAGCACCCTCATCTTGTCGTAGCGTGCTCGGACCATTTCGTTCGGCCTCGTGCAAGGAATGCCATCAAACTCTTCGTCTAGCTCATCTCGTTCAATAGACTCTGCAAGTGAGATTTTGGTTTCAAAATGGTCCAGTCTGTCCCGGCGGTTTGATCTGAACCTGTAGTTCCACGCTCCGATTGTGAACACGTAGAATGCAAAAGTGGGGATAATCAAATCTGGGAACCACACTAGCAATACCAACAAAGCGTGCACGAGAATGGTAGACGTCGGGTTTCTCCAGGCGCGCGTGTCTTCCACCCACTTCACCACGTCTATCACGCCCGCCATGACACTGACGATTCTTAACCAATTGGCCCTCACTTTACGCATGCTGAATACGTTTGCATCCGCATCGAGCAAGTAGGTCACCACCTCCCGCCTCAACGATGGCTCTGACCGAGACAAGTGTGCTATAACTAGTCTGACTGCGGCTGCCCGTAACAGCTCTTGTTGTCCCACACCGATCGGCTTGATGTTGTGCATCACTGGAAGCATCGGTTGCGTGTATACGTGCAACAAATCGAGAGTCGGAGATGAACGAACAAACCTCACGGCTAACTCAATCTCTCCCATTTTCTTCAATCCTGCCGGGGATAACGTCAACAATGAGAATGTGTTTCTGTATACTTTCCCGGTGGCCAATGTGGAAATCCGAACACGCACCTTCCCCATACGAACATCAATTCGCTTCGATTCTTTCGAGCAGTCTGATTCAAACACCTCCCAGCTATCAAACACCCCAATTGTCAACACAGTAGATGGATCATACACCCTCCAAGTGTACTGCTCATTCCATCTAGGGCACAGATTATCAGTTACTGTACGAGTGCGGACCCATTTGTTACCGTACTTCGCGACTACATACGCATCTGTAGACCCTTTCCCCCTCATTGTCTTCATCGGCAAGAGGTTCTTACATCCGATTATTCCCAATTCAACACTGCCGACCGGCGGTTTCCAGAGCTGCCTGGCCGTCGGACGGTAATCGCTG